TTTTTGGTACTGGGGATCGAACTTGTGTCCTTGTGCTTGCGAGGCAGGCAGCAGAACCACTAAGCTAAATCCCCAGCCCACACACATATATCTTAACACAGTGTCAGCCACTTTGTTGTCATCAATAAATGCCATTTGTCACGTTATTGTGCCCTGATGTTGAATATACATATCACTTGGTGGTCTTTTTTTTTTGGTCTCATCTGCTTACTATCACCATACCTTAAGCTGTAGAACATATCTGATATTAGGTCATTCCTTGTTGAAGGAATATGTGGTTGATTTTTTTTTCATCACTTGTTATTTTATTTGCAAACTTCTTTTAACCTATATAGATTTTATCCATCTTTCATAATCCAATTAAAATGTTTCCTTCAACTGTGTACTTGAACATGATTTTATTGTGTGGCTCTGAGAGCACACACATTTGAGGAACATGACAGAATATAGTCTTTATTAGTTCCTAATTTTGAAGAGCAAAAGACCAACAAAAGAAAAAAATGCTAATTACTATTGAAGTAGTTCTTCTATCTCTCTTTTCTCCTTAATTTGCTTCTCCCCCTCAGCCTATTTTTTTTTTTTTTTCCGGTACCAGGGATTGAACTCAGGACCTTGCGCTTGCGAGGCAGGCAGCAGAACCACTGAGCTAAATTCCCGGCCTTCAGCCTATTTTTTAAAAAGCAGAACAGAAAGGGAAGACATTTTGAAATTGTTTAATTTTATTTCATATTCTATATATTTTATCCAGATGGCTATTAAGTAGAACTGAACCAAATTTTAAGTATTTCTCAAGTGAAAAATTAGAAAAGCAATTGTTTCCCTTTTTAAAGTAGATTGCTACTTACTGTTCTGATGATCTGAAGATCTGATAGTAATGAACCTTTCTTCTTTAGATTGTCTTATATTTATGAATAGATAAACTCACTACATATCCTCACTGGAATAGCGCTTCTAATTATCTTTAGTTTGTAACTCAGAATATATTAAAAACAATCTCAAAAGTTTATTTTCACTCTGAGACAAATGCCTCTCAACAGAGAATGACAGCAAGTTTTTTTTTTCTTCATTTAAAAATTAATACACAGAACTTTTCCCAGAACTATATTGACAAAATGTACCCTCTGAAAGGATTTTATTTTATTTTTGGTGCTGGGGATCGAACTCAGGACCTTGTGCTTTCAAGGCAGGCAGCAGAACCACGGAGCTAAGTCCCTGGCCCCGGATTTTATTTTTTAAAGTTAATTTTGTTGGTACACTTTTGATATACATAATGATCACATTTATCATAAGGAATTTGTATATATACATAATATATCTTAATTCTTCTTTTTAACCCCATTCTGCTCCCCTCCCTTCAACTCTTCTTCCCCTCCATATTTATAAAAAATTTGTTTCCATTTTTTTCTTTTATTCTCTTCAAAATGATTTCATTTTAACTTAGTTTAAGAACTTGGAAATTATCTATCTTTGACTACAGAGTAAGCTTAATACAGAAATAAAAGTATGCCACTCAACTGCTCTTTTGCAAGGGGTCTGATCTATATGTTTTGGATTTGAAAAGGAACATTAGAGAACTTCAGAGTAGAGCTCTGATGAACAGAAAGAGTCAAGCCTTTATGTGCCATCACTGGACTGGGCTCTTGGGTCTCAGCTCAAATGTCACCTCCTTGGCAAGATCTTCTGTGATCATATTTTCTAATGTACTACTCTTCACACTCCAGGATAATAGTATATGTATATTAAAAAAGAAGAATCTCACAGGGTATGTTGGCACATGCCTGTCATCCTAGTACTTGCGAGACAGAGACATAGAAGATTGGAGGCCTGCCTGGAAGGTACACGGTGAGTTCAAGGCCAGCCTGACCTATGTAGTGAGACCCTGTCTCAAAAAACAAAAGCAAAACAAAATAAAGGGCCAGGGATTTAGCTCAGTGATTCTGCCACCTGCCTCGCAAGCACAAGGACCTGAGTTCGATCCTCAGTACCAAAAAAAAAAAAAAAAAAAAAAAAACCCACAAAAAAAGCAAAAAGCAAAATAAAAAACGTCATCATGTTACTGCCTTACTTAAAACAAAAACCTTTGGTCGCTTCCCATTTTCTATAATGATAAAACCTATCCTGTCATAAGATACTGTAGCCAGCTTCTGTCATTTCCCAGTTCCTCTTATTTGTCCTCCTCTAAAATTTCCTCAGGCCCTTCAGTGCCATGCTATTTCATCCTTCCTCTATTGGTGCCCTTTCTTACGTTTTCCAGGTAGAAAATACCACTTTTTCCTCTAGGCTTAGTTTTGAAGGAACCTTTCTGAGAAGCCTTCTCTGACTCCAGTTCTTCTACCCAAATTCCATTCTGTCCTCTGCCACCTCTGGAACTTAGTTATTACAAGTATTTGCTTACCACGCATCCTCCACAATTAGACTGCAGATTCCTCTGGGACTACATCTTTCATCTGTGTCCCTACTGTCTGATACAATACCACTTTCTAATAAGCATGTACTGAATAAATGAACTGAAAAATCTTGTCTTTTTTATACATTGATTCTCTATTATTTACTACCATCCCTATTGTAAAGGTGAAAGGTATAAGAAACTAAAATGTCCTAAATTTGCTGATCTAGATAATAAAAGTAGGATGAGTGTTTAAGTTTGGGTATGGTTTTTATAATGTTAAATAAAGTTAGACTTGGTTTTATTTCACATGCAGCTATGTTTGTTGTTGTTGTTGTTGTTTCCCTGCTTTTATCAGTTCTAAAGAATCCTGAGGTCCTCTCAAATTTATTCTTTAAAATGTCTTTGAATTAATAAAATTCTCAAGAAGATAATTTTTGAAATAGTTTGTTGTAGGGAACAGGGAAAGGGGATGCTAACAGAACCTCTGCAGTAAGTCCTAGTCTCCTGCAAGCTACGACAGCACAAAGTGAATTGACTTATTATACCGAAAGGGTAGAAAAAATGAGACTTTGAGAAGAAGTTGAGCTTTGGGCCTGATCAATGCTGTTCTTGGTGGCAAAGAGGAAAGTCCTGAAACTACCACCATTTATTACGCACATCAGAGACGCAGGTGTAACAATTGACTCAGGACAGAGAGTTCAGTAACACAGGAGAAACAAATGTAACAAATGACTCAGGGGGTAGGGGAAATCCTAGAACAACAAGGAGCTATGCAGATGAAGATTTTGTTCCTCCCAGAATGTCTTCAGCAGGTGCAGTCTTGTCCTGGAGCATCCCAGTATCACTGGACCATTGAAGTCCTATCTGTGACCGGAGGCCAAAATGGAGCCATGTCTTGAAATGCCATAGCTAGCCTGTGGGCAGGAGAACTAGGCCTAATCAAATCATTGTTCCCTCAAATTATGTAGAGTTGCTCCCAACAGTTTGTGGTACTGGGGCATTTTAAAGGGAAGGCTCAGATGTATTACATGGAGGAAATAAAGCAAAGTTCCAGGTAGTGATTGCAGGAGGGTGTGGTGATTATATTCTACAGCCTCGAATTGTATTGAAAGAAAGTTGTTTGTATCAGTCATATCATATATGAGAAAGCAGCTATTTTCTAGTAAATTTTTAAAAATGGAAATGTATTATTTTTTAAAAAGTATGTGTTTATCGTGGAACATTTAGGAAATACATATAAACATAATGGAGAAAACAGGACTGTAATCTGCAAGATCAGAGATAACTGCCTATGTATGTGCAGGTTTTGGGACAGACTATATATTTGTTTATTACAGCGTGGGATTTTGCATATGGGTTATTTTATGCTGCTTTCCCCCACATCATTTAATTAGACTTTCAAAACATCTTTACTTATAGTATACTTTGATTCAAAGAATTGGTCTCCTGTATTGGACTTTTAGGTGGCTTCTTATTCACTGTAGTAAATACTTCTTATATTTTGTACTCCATAATTATATATATATATTTTTTTTTGTTTTGTTTTGTTTTGCTTTTGAGACAGGGTCTCACTATGTAGTTGAGGCTGACATGGAACTCACTGTGTAGCCCAGGCTGGTCTTGAACTCACAGCGATCCTCCTGCCTCAGCCTCCGAAGTGCTGGGATTATAGGCATACGCCACCATGACTGGTCCTCGCTTTATTTTTTATATTTCAATTTTGTTTATGGTAGTTTCTTTGAAAAAGAGTAAAATCTATTGATCTTTCTTAGAGTTTTACCTGGAGCATCATGTTTAGGCAGGATGCAGAGTATATAACTATCTATATATTATTTCTCTCGTGATTTTTAACGTTGAAATTTTAATCTATCTTAAACTTATTACAGTGTATTGCAAGGTGTTTAAGTGTAACTTCTAGAAAATTTTTGATCCTGCATTTTGTATTGAGAACTTTGTCCAGAATCAAAGATCATACAACCACAGATCTATTTATGGCAAGTTTCGTATAATAGTTTCTATGCTAGCTAAAAATTATTAATGATTGAATTGACCAAAATTAGTGAGCCTAGTAAACTAACCAGTAAGTGAATATATTACCATAACTTTAGCTTTACCCATTTTTTTTCTGAGTCTTAACTTGTTCAGGACAATGTTGCAGAAAAATGTCTTATTTGGAATGATTGTTTCATAGATAAGTAGGTGTGAAATGAGAGTATGCCTAGTACATTGTTGGCTTAAATGTTAAAAATAAATTACCTAAATACTTACAAATTTTATAAATATATTTATTTTGGTCTTTTTAGAATCTGTGTTTGTGGATATCCTCGACAGCATGTAAGAAAATACAAAGGTGTAAGTAGTAGGATACCAGTTTCTTCAGGATTCATGGTGCAAATGTTAACAGGAATTTATTTTGCCTTGTATATAATCTTAATAGATAAGTAGCATATTTTAATGGAAGAATAGGAATCAAGATCTTGTTAATAGTTTTGTTATTTAAAACATACCTTTTAAAGTTGTGAAGAATTGGAAACTAGTTAAAATACTTCATTTTTCTTTATGCCAGAATGAAAACTTAAATACACTATTTAAATATTTTCCTTGATCTCTTTCTTTAGTATTGTACTATCTTAATAGATAAGTAGCATATTTTAATGGAAGAATAGGAATCAAGATCTTGTTAATAGTTTTGTTATTTAAAACATACCTTTTAAAGTTGTGAAGAATTGGAAACTAGTTAAAATACTTCATTTTTCTTTATGCCAGAATGAAAACTTAAATACACTATTTAAATATTTTCCTTGATCTCTTTCTTTAGTATTGTACTCTTTTTTTTCCAAATAGATTTTTTTTCTCCACTTTCAATGAAAATCCTTTTGGTTGCAGAAACTTTAGCTCCTCAGAAGTATTTTAAAGCCTCTTTGATCAGAAATAGTATATTATTATTACTATTGATTTCTAATACTGATGTTCAGTCTGTTTCTTTGAACCCTATCTTTTTTACTAAGCATTTAATATATTAATTATAATTTCCCTGATAACTTCAACATCTTGGTCATCTCTGAATTTATTTCTATTTTGTATCCATTCACGATTTCCCCCTTTTGCTTGTGGTATGCATTATAAGTTTTGATTGTTCATGATTTTCTTCTGAGGTAGGAAAATAGAGACTGTTGTAAATATTTATGTCTGAAAATGAGGTATGGCTTTTTTCTTAACTGCTAGTGGAATTATTACAGGTGGTTAGTGGGGGTTGGGTTTTGTTGCCATGGTTACTTCATTGCATCACTTTACATTCCTCTTGTGCTACCTGGGATTTAGGGTTTGAACTGGAGAATTTTCCTTAATATTTCTGTTCTTTCAGTAGCTTCAAGCTTTGTGTTCCTGCACCATGGAGGGGGTCTCTGTCCATGTTCTGGCCCCTCCTCCAGCAGTAGAGTGCTATTGCTTGGTTCTAGGTGTATACAGGCCGGTGGCGATAGGATTGGGATGGCAAGTGGTGTTCTCTGTCATCCTGATTCAACCTCGATTTCCTTGCTCCTGCTTCTCAGGGATAAGAGTTTCTCTGTTCCTGCTGCTCCTGCAGTGGTACCAGACCCTTAATGATCTTAGCAGAGAATGAGGTACTTTTCCTTTCCTTCAGAGCCTTCACTTTAATCTCTGAGGATGAAAAGGTTTGCTGCTGCTTTCCCCAAAGCCTTAATACTTTAGTTCCATAGAGAGAAAAAGGCCTGGCTGGGTCTTTGTGCTTTCCCACCCTACTGGTCACTCATTTTCAGGCCTGCACCCTCAAGGGCAGCACTCTGTGGTCCCCTCCCGTTTCCAGGCTTTCTCAAGAGTGTCTTTGAGAGATTGTGGAGAACAGCCTGCCAAGGGCTGTGAGCTTCTTCTGTATGTTTTCCCAGAGATTTTGTCTTTTCCTGCTAGGCCATGAACCAGCTTTTAGCATCTTGGCTTTTAGGAGTTTGTTAAAAAGTTTATCTGAATTCTTCTTACCCACTTGCACTGTGGCCCACCTCTCCTTACAATTTAGACTTTGGAGTTGCCCTGTGACCTCAGCTCTTTTTTGGATTCATGAAAAGTTATGATTTTGACATTACATGGATTTATCTTATTTTTAGAATGGTAATAATGCTTTCTTCAGTATTTTAGGCCTCACTTTCACGCACAATGTAACTCACATTCACATGTCTTTATTTTATTGACAGATGATCAAACCTATATATCTGTTTACTTTTGTCATTGAGTATTTTTGGAAAGGATTTGGCATCTTTGAAAATTATGTTTATATATTACACACTTTTTTTCCTCATGTCTCATATTTGCAACATACATCATGTACATTACTAAATGACCATCAGAATGCAAAGAAATTACTATTCAAAATGCTGAGTGGTGGTGTGGTAAATTCTCATTAAAAACCATGGAATTTACCAAATAATTTGATCGTTGAGTGTTCTGAACATTCTCTTAAGGTATATAATTTACTGGATCTGACTTGCTTGAAATTATAACTGCTTTGAAAATGCCTTATCTGTTTTTCGATTTCTGTTCTATAAATAGTCATGTTCTTTAGAGAAGAAATATACGTCTATAAAATTTTCTTTACTATTAATAGCTTTAAGATATAATTGAAAGGAATTCAAAGATTTAAAAATACATTTTAAGGGGAGTAGAATGTTAAGCAATGTATTAATGTGATGTTACTTTCCTCAGTCATGATAATCTTCATTACATTTTGTTCTATTATATAGAATTAAGATAACATTTTATTTAATTTTATAGATATAATGGAGAATGGGATCTAGCTCAAAAAGCACTGGATGATATTATATACCGAGCCCAGCTAGAATTATATCCAGAGCCATTGCTGGTAGGTGCTTTACTTATTTACATAAAATTTTGAATATGATTTTTCAGTTTAGAGCTATAAATTTAGAAGAGCTATTCATAGTGCTTTAATTTTCAGTGATTTGTTATCTTGGTATGTTTGCAAATTTTACACTTAAAGGGCATATATAAAATTTGAAAAGTTTCTTAGAATAACTTTCTTTTTCTTTCTTTTTTTTTGAGGGGGAGGACTTTTAGAAAGGGACTTGCTTTGTAGTTCAGGTGGCCTTAAACTCACTATATAGCCCAGGCTCTCCTCAGACTCACAAGGATCCTCCTACCTCTGCCTCCCAAGTGCTGTCATTACAGGCATGGGCCACCATACCTGGGTTACACTAACTTCTTAGCTACTTTATAAGTCTCTTTTACTTACAAGAATGTTCTTCTTAACATACGTTAGATGCATTTATGAATGAGCAGTGGGTATTGGGAAAACTAATTTAATATTTTGAAATTTTTAACTTTATGACATACATTTTATTTTTTTCTATAGATATTCCTTGTTTAATGACCAAGTTCCATTCCTGTGACTGAATTGTTAAATGAATTGGTTGCTAAATGAGGAATTATACATAGTATGTACATTACAATATTCAGAACAAAGGAAACTCCAACTTGATGACTTTGCTTTTATTTGCCTAAATCTTACACGCAGGATTTTAATGTGTAACAGAACATAAAAACTATAGTACTCTACAGCACAATCATTAAAAATTATACGGTATAAACAAGATATACTGTAACAAAAAAGATATTGAGGCTTTATAAACAAGATACACAGAACTATACCCCCCCCAAAATAAAAAAGATGGGTCATAAGTCTGAACAGCATGCCTTATCCTAAATCTGAACAGTCATCAAATGAACAGGTAGTTAGGGTTAGGTTTAGGTTATAAGATTTTTACTCCTTATCTTCAGGACTTATACATCATCTTCTTTTTTGGAGGGGGGCACCAGGGATTGAACTCAGGTCCTTGCACTTGCAAGGCAGTCACCAGAACCACTGAGCTAAATTCCTGGCCCCATCATCTTTTGAATTGGAAAATATATTTTTTGTAAACCTGTTGATATTTAGCCACATGTTTTATCTCAGGGTAAAATAATACATCTGTTAATGCCAATCTTAAAACTATTTTTTCTTTTTTAGGTTGCTAATGCTATAAAGGCTTCATTGCCTCATGGTGCCATGAAATCTAATAAGGAAGGCACAAGGTGTATACAAGTTGAAATCACACCAACTTCCTCTAGAATATCAAGAAATGCAGTAACCAGCATGTCAATAAGAGGTCACAGGTGGAAAAGACATGGTAAGAAATATGTAACTCTTCAAATTAGAGCACTGGTGGCTCTGTCTTGTTTTTCACTATATTTATAGTGCTAGAATTTCTTAATTGCTGAATACTACTATGGTATCCTGGAAGAAAGAGCTATGAGATACCTTTAATCTATCACCCAGGGGCAAGAGACAATAAAGGAAAATGGAGCCCCTTATGTTACAGATAGAAATGAAAATTTATTTAAAAATTATATTGGCCTTTAAGTTTTATTTCATTAGAGTAGGAGAATAGAAAGATATACATTTTTGGTTTCTGTTCTTAAGTATTTACAGATATTCCTCAATGAATGTTTCTTATTCCTCAATTGACTCTGTAGCAGGTAACTTACTGAAGTAGAAGAACTCATAGAAACTTGAGACATTTTATCTGGACTTCCTGGTAAAGAATGCCATAGTATTCATGCAGACTGGGCATTTCCATTTTTCTGAAGTTATTCATCTTTCAAGATTGGTTTTTTTGTGTTAACATTCCATCCTGTCTGCTGCATTTTATTATCGTAAAATTGTACTACAAATTAATATCATTCACCGTGGTGGCATTAGTGCTTTCCTGTGTCTGTTCCTTCTCTTTTCATTTATTTTTTATTAATTTCTTGTTGTTTTTGTAATTTCCCTCCTATCTAGAAATTATTGCAGTGGTATGAGTCAGTGTAAAAAGAGAATTAATATTAACTTTTTCAGAAGGTGACCTTTGGTTGGGAGACAGAAAAACCACTTCTTGGGCACAATCAAAATCTAGTCTGGCCAGGGATTTAGTTCAGTGGTTCCGCTGCCTGCCTAGCAAGCACAAGGTCCTGAGTTTGATTCCTGGTACAAAAAAAAAAAAAAAAAAAAAAAAAATAAGTTCTTTTTTTTTTTTTTTAAAAAAAAAAAAAAAAAAAAAAAAAAAAAATCTAGTCTGTTTTCTTCTTCCTTTAAACTGAGAGGAAATGGTAGCTCCTCTTGGTATATTTTACAGTATTTGGTTTCAGCTGTCTCTATGGTCTCTATAGAGGAAATAGGAAAGTGAGAAGAATGAGGCTATGTATTGTAAAGTGGAAAGTTAATGATGAGAACAGTTGCCTTTTTTTTTTTCTGTGAGAGAATCTAGAAGATTGTATGTAAAAAAGAATAATGATGAAATTACCCAGGATAACCCATGTTATTTTTTTCTTTTTAAAGTTAATATGAGAATTGTAGAAGTCTAATTGGAAGAAATAAAAGGGTTGATTTTGTTTGCTGTAATCAAGGCAAATTGTGCTATTTAAAATATACAAAGTCTAAACATAGTTCAGTTTGTTCAATAAAAATAATGCTACCGAATAAGGCTAAATCATCACAGGTAGGAAGTATTTCAATTAGATGTGATGGTACCCTAAATATTAGCTTTTCTACTTTGGTATTCATATATGAAAATAGGTCCAGAGGCAACAAACTAATCATGCTGGGGACTATGGCCATGATTGTTCCCACATTAGTACTACAGGAAATACAAGAATAAAATTTAATTTCTTTTCCACTTGCCATTCTTGCATGGGGGGGCAAGGAGGGATTTAGGTCTTACAGTTAAATATGTGAAACACATTGATAGTCCTTTGTAGTAGCTGTGTGTGTGTGTGTGTGTGTATCCTGAGTGTTTTAGTAGAGGGAGATATGAACTCTATGGTGAAATGGAAGCTACTTTCCAGAGATATTTCATGGGAAAGAATTAGCAAAGCAAAAGAGAATACTAGTTGAATCAATTTTATCTATTCTTACCTGTTTTCTAGGTTCCATTTTGCCTACCATTTGAGGGGTTTATACTCTGTCTTAGGGCTGTGGCCTATTAAAGTAGCCTCTTGTTACTTTTTCCCCTGTGTTTATTTGGAGTTCACAACTCTAACACTTCAGCAACTCTTGACTATGATAACAAAAAAGTCATAGATGGAGATATAAAAGGGAATGAGCTATAAAAAGCAAGTGACATGCATGAGCAGGTAGAGAATACAGTTTAGCCTTATTTGCCTTATTCTGTAGTGTAAATTTCCTTTGTCTAGTGCACTGTAAAGTACCACAACTCTAAGGTCCCTCTTATCTGCTTTAGAGATGGGTTTTATTCTCCCTTTTTAGGGTAGTCTTGGTTTTTACCACATAGTTCATCCTCATTTCAATTAAATGAGGTTAGTTTCAACATTTCAACACAGGTAATATTTTGTAGTTTATTTGACAATACCATGTTTTCCTGATCTTTCCTGCTTTTCAGTAGATTATTTTAGCATTGCTTAACTTAATGTTTTTCAAGCATTTCAAAGTTTGTATTTACATTTGAGATAATTTTAATGACTGTATAATTCCATGCCAAGCATACTAATGTAAAACTAATGTAGAATTGCTGCTTTTCACTTTTAAGGACCATAATTTTATAAATAAACAGCTTTATTTTTATAGTATTAATTTTCTATCACTCTATAGATTGTAGATAAATCAAGGGAAAGGTATATTTTTCAAACAGATTTTTAACTTACCTATAAATTCAGGGCTATCTAGAAGTCACCATTTTAAAGTAAAATTCAATTGTAGGACAGTAATACAATGAACTTCAAAAAGAATTAAATAAGAGAATGAATAGGTTATGATCATAACGAATCAAAATGAAAATTCTAATAAGAAAAATAGGCAGAAATTTAGAGAAATAATATATTAATTTTAAAATTGATAATGAAAAGGAATTTTTGCTTGAGTATTTACTTTTTTCAAAAGCAAATATAATAGCTAAATGGAAAACAAGGTATTTCTTTATAAATATGCTCTAATTCTGTAGTCATTTCTGAAGGATCTTCATCATCTGCCACTGTGGCTGTTAGAGTCCCTTTTCTTGAATCCCTAAATGATTCTGCAGTACACCAAGATTCTAGTTTACACGGCTGGGGATTTAGCTCAGTGGTTTTGCTGCCTGCCTTGCAAGCACAATGGGCCTGAGTTTGATCCCCAATACCAAAAAAAGGAAAATATTCTAGTGTACAGTCTAGAATCTTATTTCCCTGTACTTTTCCATTGCTACCACTCTTTCTGTGCAAATGATTGCTATTTTTTTCCTGTTCCCCCTGACTACCACCACTATTATGACTCATTATTTTTCCATTTAAAACCAATTACCTATACTTGGTACCACATAAGCAATTTTCCTCCTTTCTTTTAAGATAGTTATTGAAATACCACTCCTTCATTCTATAGAAGTCCCCTATTTAAGTTATGGCTGCAAATATAGAGTGCTTATGATTTTTGCTGACTGATATCTAATAAAAGACTTATCTAGTGAAATCTTAATTCTTTATTATTCCCTACCATTCTTTCCACTTAGGTATTTGTGATGAGACACAAAAGTAAATGAAAAACACTTGGTATAGTTTAAAGCACCACATACAGGCTGATTATTATTTAGGAGTTAATTGTTTTATTAGCTACACAATAATTGTATTCTTGGTAAATTTCTATTGGCTACTTTTTCAAATTCTGTCTGTAGTAGTGATATAAGTGTCAGATAATAAAGTTAGAGCACCTCTGTTTCAGTGCTACAGCAATTAAAACAAAAATCATTAAACTTATATAACATGTGTACTTTCGCATTTGATTGTATTCTCAAACAAGTTTATCTAAAATTAAGGAATTCAAATTACCAGTTTTATGAATGAACTAATCAATTCAAAGTGGTTAGTGATTACATTACTGAAAAACAACTGAATTGTTGATCTGTGTCATAATTTGATCAATAATTTCTTACTAAATTATTAGATGAGGGGAAAAATAAGAAAAATAAAAAGATGAAATTCATTTTCAAAACTAATTTTTAAAAAACTGGTTAGTGATGTAGAAGATGTTAACATTTCCCTTTTTCCCTACTTCCTTCCCTTCCTTTCTTTCCTTTTCTTTTCTAATACTGGGGATTGTAGTTCAACCTGGGGTTGAACCCAGGTCCTTCACACTGAACTTCAACCCCAGCCCTTTTTAGATTTTTATTTTATTATTTCAAGACAGGGTCTTAAGTTTCCCAGAGCAGTCTTTAACTTGAGATCCTCCCTGCTTCAGCTTCCCAGAGTGCTGAGATTACAGGTATGCAGTGCTATGCCTGGCTTGTAAAATATTAATAAATTTCTGTCATATAATATCATTCATAAAGCAGAAGAGTGCTAACTTTATAACTACTGAACAAATATGAAACATTATAAGCACATATCAGTAAAATATTTTAATACAATTGTTTATAAATATTCAAACAATTCAGATCATCTTTCTAGATACTGCAGAAGGTATTCTGTCATGAATCTGGAGATGGAATATTTATTTTGTGCATCAGAGATGTTATGACTATGAGAAATTTTAAATTGAGGAAAAATAAAGTTGCTAAGAGTTAGAGAAATATTTGAAAAAAATGGTAATTTAAGGTCAAAATAGCCAACTTTAAGAATTGGCTATTGGAACACTCTTTCATCTCCAATTAGAAATTTATAATGCCCAAGTTTTTCTTTTAAATATTATTTATACTCATTAAAGAAATTTAGAAAATTAGAAAATTATCTGACAGCTTTATAAAAAGACTTAAATGTTTCAGTATCACTTTGAGAAGCCATGTTGCATTCAGATTCTAAGATGCTATTTAAGGAATAAATTTTCTTTTCTCAATAGAGATGAAGAAACATTGGCACCAAAAATAAGCATTTTTTTAATATCCAAGTGTTGCACAAATTTTAACTGGCATATTTGATATGAAACTTTATATTCATGGTGAGCAAAATAAGAGGAAATGCATATGACTCAAAGAAGAAGGACATATTAACCAAAGAGCTAAAATATCATGTCAATATGCTTGACACATATGAACATTAGATTTAAGAGAGGAAAGAGATTATACAGAGCCTTGGCTTAGTCAATTTTTGAAGAAAATAAAAAAATCTTTTTATATTTTCAGATATAATAAAGTAAAATTTTCAACACAGGCAAGATAATTCAGAATTA